AGTCATGTGTCTGGAACATCCACTGTCAAAGTACCAGTCTTCCTTTGTAGAGACCCTCAGGGAAGTGTGAGCTATCAGTGCAGTAGCCTTTTTCTTCCATTTAGTAGCATGTGGTACCTTTTTAGACTTAGGTTTGACACCTGAGTTCTGATTAGGATATCCATGTAATCTGAAGCAGAAGGGCTTTATGTGGCCATATCTCCCACAATGATGACATCTCCATCTTTGGTACCTTTTCTTCATATGTCTCTGTTCCTGATGTTGAGAGTTGTGTTGAGACATCTGTTTTGACATTTGCTTACCAGTACCAGATTTCTTTGCTTCCATAAATCCTAGTCCAGATTTATTTCCTACATTTTGTCCAACCTGAAGGATCTCTTCCAATTTGTCTGTTCCATTTGTCAACATCTTGACAGATTTAGTCATTTGATTCAGTTGTGAGTTTAGCAATTGAACTTCTCCTTCTAGATGACTTATGGTTTCAAGGTTTGCCCTTTTTTCAGCCTCCAGCTTTATGATGAGTTTTGATTGTTTCTCATTCTGCACACAGACTTCAGTACTTCTGATACACAATTTCTTGTAAGTATCAGCCAGTTCTTTAAAAGTCACCTCTTCATCACTGATGTCACTTTCAGAGGTACAAACACCAGTTAAAGCAGTAACTCGTTTGGCAGATTCTTCTTCAGAATTACTTTCTGAATCACAGTCAGACGAAGTAACTGTCATTCCTTTTTGTTTCTTAAGAAAGGTAGGACATTCAGCTCGAATATGCCCATATCCTTCACAACCATGGCATTGAATTCCTCTGCCTTGAATTCCCTTCTCTTCTGACCTTGGTCTTCTGCTGGAACTGTCAATGTCAGAGGGAATGTTATGAACATTAGACCTTGACTTTGGATCTATTCTTTTGATGAGTTTGTTGAACTGTCTTCCAAGCATGGCTACAGCTTCTGAAATATTTTCTTCAACATCAGTGTTGGACATAAGTGCTATGCTCTTGTTCTTCTTGACACCATTATCAGTGATCCCCATCTCAAAAGTCTGAAGAGACCCAATAAGTTCATCCACTTTCAACTTGCTAATGTCATGGGCTTCCTCTATGGCAGTTACCTTCATTGCAAATCTTTTAGGCAAGGATCTGAGAATCTTCCTCACCAGTTTTTCTTCTGACATCTTTTCTCCCAGTGCTCCTGAGGTGTTGGCAATCTCCAAGATGTTCATGTGAAACTCATGAATGGTTTCATCTTCCATCATTTTTAGATTCTCAAATTTGGTAGTCAACATCTGAAGCCTTGACATTTTTACTTTGGAAGTGCCCTCATGAGTAGTTTTGAGGGTGTCCCAAACTTCCTTGGCCAGTTCATATTGATGTACTAGTCTGAAAATGTTTCTATCAATTCCATTGAACAGGGCATTTAAAGCTTTTGAATTTCCCAGAGCTAACTCATCTTCTTCTTTACTCCAATCTTCCTCAGGCTTCAGACTGATTGTCCCATCTTTCTCAGTTATAGTGGGATGAATCCAACCTTTGTCAGCAGCTCTCCAAGCCTTTTGTCCAGAGATTTTAGGAAGGCAATCATACGAGGTTTCCAGTAGTCATAATTCGTTCCATCCAGAATGGGTGGTCTATTTCCAAAAACTCCTTCTTTGTCCATAGTGCCAGAAAGTGATATCCCTAGATCTCACCCAGTAATACAGGCAGGGTGCCTGCTCTGATGCCAATTGAAATTCTGGCTGCAGATACTCAATGTCACGTTCAATGTTATGACACCGTATCTGACTTACTATATGACAGTAAATACAAAAGCAATAAAGAACACAGTCAATTGTTTACCCAGTTCAGTGTGCAACAACACCTACTCTGGGGGCTACCAAGCCAGGGAGGAAATCCACTATAAGAGATGTTAATTCAGGAATAAACCAACCAGTTTATCTCCTTCACTTAAGACCTACCCAATGCAATTCCAATCTAAGTACAACTTAAACCTGAGTTCCTACTCACTCCCCCTCAATCACAGCAGTGATACATAAACCAATTTGACTTAAGAATTGATGAAGACACTCTTCAAAAACAAACACTTGATTAAGCTTCACAGCTTTTTAATCAAGCAACACAATCACTCGTGCTTCACAGCTTTGAGTGATGCACACAACTAACTTGACTCTGCTTCACAGCTTTAGTCAAGGAACATTCAAACACTCTTGCTTCAAAGCTTTGAGTGCTACACAACCCTTACAATTAGAAACCTATTCCAAGTCACTTATCACAATGATAATTGCTTGGAGTACAATAATCAAACCTATACAGATTACAAATGATCTTCTGATCAATAAAAGGGATGCCTTGCAAAACAGCAGCTCTGTTGAATATATAGCAGCTGCAACTTCAGTTAGGGTTTCCACAAAAACCTAGGGTTAATTCCGTTTGACCTAAAGACCAGGTCACAAGACTTTATTAACCAGGTTAGGGTTGAGCTAGGTTACCCCTCAGAAAACGCAGGATTCTGTTCAGGAAAGACTGAGTTATTTTCCTGAAAAAACTCCGACTTATCCAACCTGCAAACCTGTTAGTTCAGAACAGGATGTCATAACATCTGTTATAACATCTGTTATGACATCTGAGAAAACCTGTCTACTGATTTAGCAAAATGTGATCATTTTGCAAAATGCTCAGATACACACTTATAAACATCAGTACTTGAATTACAATATTTTTCTGCAAAGGTACCTAATGAGTCAGTACAAACTAAACTAGAATGTTATGACATCAGTCATGACATTCACACATACACTTGGATTTTACCAAAAATGCAAGCCAATACCTAAACAACTACAATGATGTAATGGAAAGTTAATTAGTAGTGTCAATTACCATTATTTAATCAAATTAATCGATTTAGATCAATTAATCAAACTAAATAAAATTAATTAATAAAACTAACTAATTTGAAAATAAAATTAACATGACAAATATTAAAAGTTAACAAACAACAAAGTATGAACAAAAGGAAATAACACAAGAGTAAGGAAATGTAGTGCTATGTTAAGCAATCGTAAGACGATTCATATAGAAACCAATCCTATCTGAGATAAGTCAATGAACTCTATGCATCCTAAACGATTCGCATAATAATGTATAATTAAACTTCAAAATCATCATGCAAGACTAAGGCAAACCGATTCAAGACAAAGCAAAATATATTTAATCAAGTATCCATTAATTAATTAATGAAAAAAATAATAAAACAAAGAAATAATCAATAATTTAGAAGACTAAAATTAAATAAACTAACTATTATAGTCAATCAAAAGTGGAGAAAATGAATTCAAATCTAAAGTAAATAAATAAATAAAACAAAATAGTAAAAGAAAATAAAAAAATGAAAATAACAAAACAAAGAAAAAGCAACGAGCCAGAAAGTAAGTAAACAAGAGCGTAACGAGAAGTTAACATGCCACCTCCAAATTATTCATGGCACCCCATATTTAATTATTCCTAAAATGCCCCTTGCACTATTTCTTCTAAAAAAATTATATTTGTCAAAAATATTTTACTATTGGTCAAAGGGGTTAAAACGAAATTTTTCGTACGCTTAACAAATTTTCGGTGCAGAATTTTGGCGTATACCGGAAATTCTTTGCATTATCTAAATTTTCGGTTGCGAATAAATGGAAAGTAGAAAATTTCTTGGTGGGATTCACCAGAAATTTCAAAATTTCTGGGACGATTTCCAAAAGCAATTACATAAATCGGAAATTACGTAAATTTCCGGTAGGTAGCATAAAACCGAAATTTTGAAATTTATGGTATGTTTGTAGATGAAATTTTATGTCTTTGTAGTCCAGAGCTGGAAGCTTCAGCTTCTTCTACGGATTCATGTACTGATGTTACGCAGTTTTTCACCACATATATTGTATGTTTCCTATTGAATTTACACATTTTTATTTCTTTTCCAACCTTAAATAAATTAACGAAGTTTATTATTTATATGTCGTTCTAATTGGTAGACTTTTGAATCTCGATTTAAAGTTTTAGATTAGGCACAATCTATTGGTAAAAAACATGGTTTTGTTGTTGGTACAATTCTTTCCGATTCTGCTAATGGAATCCGAGGGAGGAATGAAAATTGATTATGGGTTGTGTGAGAGGAGGAAATTATAAAAGAAAAAATGAAGTTGAGAACACCTCTGATGGCATCTATACTATGAAGGTTAAATGCCCATTTAGGCTTAGATTTATTTATATGCATATATGTATGATATTTATTCTATTTATATATTAAGTCGGTTAACTATTTTACTGTATAAATTATCCAAGTAAAAGTTTAAAAAAAGGAAAAAACAACTCTCAGTACTATCGGGAATTTCATATTTTCGGGTTTTTTGTACCTATCGAAAATTTCAAAATTTTCGGTACATACAAGGATGTCAGTTCCCAGAAATTTCAAATTTCCGGTTGGATACATGTGCCACGGTAAAAAGTGGTAATTTAACGGAAATTTTCTGTATTCTATTGAAATTTCTTATACATAAATTTCAAAAAATTTGGTATTTTACAAGGACGTTATAGTAAAAATGCCTCTAATGCGCGGGGAGGGGGGGTTCCATGTATTAGTGGGGAGTGGCATGTTAAATCCTCGAGGGTAAGGAGTGAAAAAATTGCAAGCCCGGCCAAAGGGATGCCCAACATTACAGGGAGAGTCTAGTGGACTCTCAGGCCAACTCAGTTGACCTCTGCGAGCGCTCCTGATCACGTGATCAATTGGTCAACAACATTGACCTTGATCAGATGGCTACAAAAGGTGAGGCACATAGTAACAGGGGAAAGGGCACACACAGAATCGGAGGGAGGTGTCAACCAAACCAGGGACAAGTGTCCCCACGATGGAGACACTTGTAACCACCATATCGTCCACCGTCAATTAATAAAACAACAAAAACTCAACAGAGAGAGAGAGGGTGCTCATTTTGTTCAACTTATTCTTTCTCTTCCCTAAAAAATGAAAACAGCTCTACAAATGAGTGGTTGCTGGAAACCTCATTGTGGCCAGAGAAGACGTTGGTCGCCGCTATCTTCTCCGGTGAGACCAACCCATAACCAAAAAACACCAACACAAACCCCACTTGTTTTTTGACTATGATAACGAATCAGGTCTCAAAACCCTCTAAATATTTAGCACATGACTGAATCAGAAGTTTTCCAAAACGAAACCCTAGATTCTAAACTCAACAGAAACAAGCAATTAAAGCATGGAAATGAAGTACAAGGAAGCTTAGAGAAAGGAAAGCATGGAAAAACAATAAGGAGAACACAGACAAGGACAAATCAGAGCTTACCTCTTGATGATTTTCAGGTATGTTTGAGATAATATTTAGCTTCCCTCACTCCTCTCTTTACAAGGAAGCTTAGAGAAAGGAAAGCATGGAAAAACAATAAGGAGAACACAGACAAGGACAAATCAGAGCTTACCTCTTGATGATTTTCAGGTATGTTTGAGATAATATTTAGCTTCCCTCACTCCTCTCTTTCTATAATTGTGTGCTTGCGTTCCTGATATAGTTATGTGAGTGGTTATGCTCAACTCAGACTCGGAGCTCTGATGTAAGCTCTGAGAGAGATTTAGTAGAAATGAGAGCTTTAGGTATTTTGTGGTTAGGGGGAAAAATCTTTAGGGTAACGATGCTTGAGTTGTTGATGATTTTCAATGTGAGAGCGAGTCTGTTTTATAGAAATGCTTGGCACATGTGAGATTCCAATGGTACGTGTGAAGTTAGTTAGAGGAGAGAGAGATGAGGGAAATGAGATATTGTGAAATGCTTTATGAAAAACTTGAAATTTTTTTTGAAACATAGTCATACGGTTCACAATTCTCTTCCGTACGTGGTACAAGTTCGGGTACTCGATTCGTAACTCTCAAAGGATTAGGTACGCGAGGGGTTTACATAGTCGGTATGCTATTTGGGTTCACGGTACATTCAAATATAATAATCGGTACGTTATTATTAAAGAAATGGTTTACTTAGAATGAACAGTGGTTGAGAGAAAAACTTTGTAGTCCCCCATCGACTACATTAATAATATTGATTTGAAAAATCAGTTATAAATACCCAATGTATACTCACATCTCTAATATCAGCTCACCAAAGCTTTAATATTAATTATTATGGTCATTAATATTCACTTTTATCAAAGTGATACATACCCCATCATAATTAAAAAAAATTAGTTAAAGTTTTGTTTTTATAATTTCTAGTTTATTTGATAAATATTATGTCATTTAAATTTAAAAATTGTATTTGGTTCGTGGGTACTTCATTTTACACAAATTTTAGATGAATTTGTACAAACCAATTCATAAAAGTACTGCGAATTAGTATGCGCGAACCAATTTGCGGTTCGCAAGGGTACCTGCGAATGATGTGACTATGGTTTGAAATATCTGCATGATCCGTGGCAACATTTTTGAATTGATTTGAGTCCATTGGTGTAGCGGTGAAAATCGGAGATCGAGCTATTATTTAACTTGACTCGCAAAAGTAAGAGTTGTCACCGCACTTTATTATTTCCAAAGGAAAATGGAAAAGTGCGAAATAAAACCCATAAATATGCAAAGTAAGTGCAATACTAAAAGTTAAAAAAAATACAATGCATTTGAAAAGATCGAAAGTTTAAGGGCTGGTTATACAGAGGGAAGGTACTAGCACCTTATGTTTCTATAGTATCCTATAAGAACCTTTTGAAATATCTGATTTTTTTTGTTAAAATTGATTTGTTTGCTAAATGAGTGCGGGGATGACCTAATATCAAGCAAGCAAATTGATTTTAACCTTTTGAAATACACAGATTAAAATAATTTTAAAATTGATTTGTATGTACACTTTAATTAAAAGAAAAAGGGAGTAATAAAATAGAGTTTGGATTAAAAGGGGATAAAATGTGCAGAATAATGGTAAATGGGTCTCAATGGGTCTCAAACCCAAGACCTCACGCATACCAGAACCACACTCCAACCACTACACCAGGCTTATTCATTTGTTATATCTATGTTTCAATTAAGATAAGAGGGTAAGAAATAATTAACTCGGGCTTACAACTTAAGCCCAACCCAAATCCGTTAGAGAAGATGAGGGGTTTTGAAACCCTAATTGAGAGGGAGGCGCCGCTGCACCTGTGGGAAAAGGAAAAGTTATAATTATTTTCTTTAATCCCTAATTAAAAGCTGATTAACCGACTTATTATTCCCAATATTTTCTCTTATTTCTCTCATAGCTTCAACGATTCAGAATTCTTTGTTTCTCAATTTCCTTCAACAAAATTCAAAATAACATTCACAACAAATCAAAACCTAGACCTCTCGATTAAATTCCTTCCATGGCTTCATCTCTCTCACCACAGACTAACATCAACAACATCGAACTCTCAACTCGATTCCTCTCTCAATTTCCCATTCTACTCCCCTGTTTCTCATCTGCTCTAACATATAATAACAACTAGACAACTCTTTATTCTTACTCGATTCACTATAATACTTCCTTTGTTTTCCGCCTAATCGACACACCAAAAATCTTATGTCTAGAATTGATACTCCCTCCGTTTATTATTTCTTCCGTGAAAATCGAACCATAAGCCATTGTTCTTATTCTTCTGAAACTATAACAAAACAACACAAACCTTTCGTATATCCCATAAAACAGAGACACTAACCTCTGCTAGCTCTAATCTCTCACGGTTTTTCACAGTTCTCACTATAAAGCAAACAATGCAACATGACAAGAACAATAGAAACAAACATTAACGAAAATGGATGTGACAAAATCAGAAGTGAGGAATTAAGTTACCCACATCGAGGAGGTTTTCGTTGGTCAGACAGGTACAATATTCTAAACTTTTATTCTCTTCCTTCGATTCTGCTCCGTGTATTCGAATCCGTGTATCCCTCTGTTTTTTCATGGCGTTGTATCTGCTTAGGTTGCTATATGATGTACTATGTTGTTGTTGTTATTATTGAATGCAAAGCTGATTTGCAGGTACAGTTGTGACAGGTTGTTGAAGATGGAGAGGGTATTTAGCAACATATTTTCTTCTCTCTTTTTCTGTCTATGTGTGATGAGAGTTGATGCAGGATTTTTTGAATGAAAGTTTATCTCAAGCTTCATTAAAGTTTTAACTTGAAACTCTAACAGCTTTTGATGCAGAGCTTTGAGTATGGTTTATTGAGATGTATGTATTTTGCAGAGTTTCCTTTTAAAGTTTTCAGGGAAGTATTTTGAGCATAGTTATGGATATATTTGTTTGTGTGTTGTTGTCGAGCAAACTTCTGAGATCTTTTGTGTTATTTTTTCTCCCTATATCCGTGGACTCGCCCCTTTTATTGTGTATGGAATGTTATATAGAAAAATGATAGAGTTTTAGGAGGGAATTTTGAATGGCTTTTGAACAAATATGATGCTCTGGTTTATGGCTTTTTGGTACAAGTTTTGTGCTTTGTTAATTTAGTGTACATCTTGGCATGTTTTGGACTGGTTGTACGCGGGTTTTTGGAGCAGCAAGGTGCAGATTTTTGGTTGTCTTATGGGTTGGTACAGTAGGGTTGTTTTGACATCTTGCAGCAGGTTTAGGGGCAGCAGCAGAGCTGAAGTTTTAACTGGTTTGGGCATCTGATTTTGACATGTTGTGGACAGTCTTATTGTGCAGAATTTTGGATTGTACTGTTTGGTTGTTTATGCAGGTTTTAGCAGGGATAGGGACGAGTTATGTAGTGGTTCAGGGCTGGACGGCGTAGCAGGTTTTTTTTTATGTTGATAACATCCTTTTTGGACTGTGCATTTGAGCTTGTTTAGGTTGGAAGCAACATAATTTTATAAGGACATGGGATTTTCTAGCATAGGTTTTAAAGGCTTTAGCACTTGGTTTCATGTAGAAACTTACGCAATTTCATGTAATGAAAAATTCCCTTGATTTGAAATGTAATGCTTTCCTTATATCCAAAGCATTCAAAATGGAAATTGATGAATGAACTTGATGAATATTGAATGTACTTGTAATCTTTGAGTGTTAAAACTTTGGATGAAACTCGACAACTTATTGCACTCTTGAAGAAAATTCTTCACTTCACTTCAATTGTGAAACATTTTGAGTCCAAATGAATCATAATCTCTTGATAACTTAAGCTTGCATTTTTTGTAGAGAAATGTTCTTGTAATTTTCAAAAGAACTTGAAAGAGTTGAGTCTTGTGATGAACATAATAATGCATGCCATTTAGTCTTCGGTACTTGAATTCAAGATAATTCACATGAATGGACTTGAATGAGTTTTGGCTTTTGAATGAGCTTGAATTGAGTTTGAATGTCTTGTTACTTAAATCTCAAGAAATCGAAGTTTCTTTTCCTTTCCAACCTTGCAAGCTTGATGAACAAACAAATGTCTTAAAAGTTTTGATCAAGATCCCACTTCGATCCAATAATCACTAACGTTCAAACGCAAGCGATTTGAATTACGAGTAACAAACAATCCATGAACCTTCAAACTCAAACTCTTGTTTCATGAATTATCTCAACATAAGGATCAACATATTTGAAGAAATGATCACGACATGAATTGAAATTAGAAGTTAAGAACATTCTAAAGTCAAGAAATGACCTATAATGATTCAATAATTTTCATGATCTTTTATGCACAATTAACTCTCGATCCTTGAAGAGAATTTGTAGATGACATCATTTATGATAGTGTGCAAAAAGAATTGCACAAAATGTCGAGAATCGAAGAAGTTATGATCCTTGGAAGTTGGGCACAACTATTTTGAGATTAGGTCAAGTTCCACAGAATGACCTCTAAAGTATTCGAACTTTTGATGATCCTCCGCACATAATCAGATCTTGACTGGTAAAGAGGAGTTGGAAATGACGTTAAGGAGAGTTATACGCAAAAAGGACCGTTTAAAAATATTGAATAATGAAGAAGTTATGATCGTTTGAACTTGATCTTGCAGAAGTTGACTTTTGGTCGAAGTGCTTTGAATCGACTTACTAACTTGATCCTTCCTTGCATTCCAAGGCATATTGATGCACATGTGAACCAGTGATGATGAAGTCTTGATTGTGCTTTTGAGATTAGAGGCTAAGCTTTGATGATGTAGCCTTTAAGAATCGGTGATCCATCAAACCTGAACACTTAAGGGATCAGAAACCCTAACTGAGGCACAATGCCTGATGCTTTTGATTCAGACTCGTCCCTGCACATGAAAACAAAAAAACAAAAACACACACATTTGTATGGGATTAGAAGTTAGTGATACATAAAATAAAATGTTCACAACAATTGATAATCTCTACATAAGCAATGCTCGCGAAGGTAAGCGGATTAAAAACCAGTTGTATCTTGTGACCTTGATGTTTTATGAAAATACAAATGAAGGTAGGATCTTAAGTCAAAAATTTGGACATGACACTTGGATTGAAGTAATGAATGGTTGGATTGGTTTGGAAATTGTTTTTGATTTATTTCTTTGAATTGGATTTTCATTTTGGCAAAACGGTATGATATGCGTGAATGGTTGATGATTGCATACATGAAAATTGGTTAATTGTTTTTTGAAATTGATTTTATTTTCAACTTGGAATTGGTTTGCAAACTTATGTATGATATGGTTGTTGTGTGCTAGTGGTATAATGTCAATTGAAGTGTGATTGTTTGTTATTTGATGTGGCTGCATATTAAATGATGATGATGGGTGTGGATGGCACATATAGTATGACATAGTTGGGTTGAAGATGATGGCACGAAAGAATGGGATGGAAGATGGGCGTGAGGTTGGATGATGATGTACTAGGTACATGAGCTGAAGATGATGATGTTGGGATGGCACGGATGGCATGGTCATGAGGGTAAAATGCGTGTGCTGCATGAACTTTGCTGAGAATGCTTTATTTTCCAATTTCCTTGTAACCATTTTTTTGTCTGTTTTTGATTTGGACTATGGTACATGTATCCCATGATGGGAATGCAATCAATAAAACACAAACATAACATATATCCTTTTTAATGCATTCAGTTTTGGACTGTGGGGATATTACGTAAAAATATGATGTGACTAAACAAATTATTCTCTGCATAAAATGAATCACTCTCTTTATTTTTCCTTTTCAAAGTTTCAAAAGAAAAAACAAAAGAATGTCCCTTTAGAACAAGTAAACTAATTATTAAAAGAAAATATCAATTAATAATAACTTTAATTGTAAAAAATGCAATATTTTACCTTATTTAATTGATAAAACAAAAATACAAAGTAAGACATAAAATAAAGTAGTAAAAAGATAAAATAAAATTCTCTTTTTGTAAGTTTTTCAAGAGGTAAATAGATCTATTATATTTTTTGTGATTTTCTTTAAACCCAAAAAAATTAAATGAAAAAGAAAAAATTAAAATATTTAAACTAAAACAAAACAATAAACTAAAAAAACTAAGTAAGAAGGAGAAACAATTTTTGAGGTATTCCTAAAAAGAGAAAAAAATATACATGACCCAAGACAAGATAAATGACCACTATGGATGTAGAGGAAAGAGATGTCCAAATGAAAATGGTCATGGTGTCTCTTATTAACCAAGAAATAAATGAAATCAGGAGTGAAATTTTAGGATATGACACTCCTAAGAGCATAATTTCCCCCTTTATCAAAATCAAAAGTCAAATAAATGATGCATTGTAATAATTTAAATATGCAAACATAATTACAATATTATTTAGTAAAGGGAAACATTCATCATTTTTTAATAGTTAAAAAATTGCCAAAGTTCAAATTATAAGGAAAAAATTGCATAATTTAAAAGTACTATGAATAACGAAACTTTTGGAATTAAAAACAAGGATATTTAGCATATAAGTGAATTTATTCATTGCCATAAGTATCATTATTTTTTAAGATGGTTTTCTTGATCTTCTCTGTATCTTGGATTAAATTCTGACATATCTACAAAATTTTACCCCCTCTCTCTCTAGTTTGTCTTTGAGGGATCACCGAGCACTCATTTGTGTATCTTGTACATACACGCTTTATGTTTACTATCATCTAATCAAAATAAAAAAAGATTTACTTTATTTCTCTTTGTTTGTTTTGCAAGGATAAGCGTGGATCAAGCAATTTCTCTCAATTAGGGTTTTCATATGATCAAAGTCTAAATGGGGTCAATATTAATTCTCAAGGATTTATGCATTAGGGATTGACCTATAATCTTAGGTCATATTATTTTCAAGTATCACTCAATCTCAATGGATAAAGAGATTCCCACACTAGTGCCTGAAAGACTTTTTACATTAGATCTGAGTCCGATATAAAGACAAGTGATGTAGTAAATCAAATACATTTTACATCGGACAATAGTCTAATGTGAAAAATATATCTACCACAATGATTGACTCTGATGTGAAATATGGGTTTAACTTTATTTTTTTTAAATAAATGCAACATTTAACATCGGTTGCCTTTCTGAATATGTTTTTACATCGGTTGCATGGCGCATTTGATGTAATATGTATGTTATCTTTCTACAAAAAAATTAACTATTTTTTAACAGAATCGAGGTGGAATCCGTGTAAATTTTTTTGGTACCTAATTTTTTATATTTTTCTAACATCACACAAACCACATTTAAATCGCTATTTGATATCTAATTTTTCATATTTTTTTAAACTACCTGTTAATTTTATTACACCAAATAGCTATGATGCACATATTCTTTAAAATGAAAAATTGATTTACAAAAGTACTAATCTAGGATACACACAAGTGTATAAAATTATAAGTATGTTTACACGGTGAACTACTACAACAATAAAATCAGTGAAAACATACAAAAATATCCAACCATTTATAAGTCCTTTCCCACACTTGAATTACCAACATGCAATCCACAAGAAGATGAGTTGTAACTTCACTAGACAACACCAAAATCACATTTGCTGACAATAAATAATAACATCAATTAATATCAGTAGACAACACCAAAGTCAAGAAACTCAAATTATATATATATATATATATATATATATATATATATATATATATATATATATATATATATATCACTCACTCACTAGATAAAGCCACATAAAATATGAAATTACTTTTGTAACAACTTATGTATATTTGATATATAATATATTATAACAAAAGTCATATAAAAGATAAATTTACTTTGTAACAATTTTCCTCATGGTTTGATCAAGTTTATGATGAAGTGAACAAAAGACGACTACAATATTGTCTCTTGGATAAATGATTATTAATCGTTAATGATTTCTATACGTGTATGTGGAAACACAAAAATCACATAAAATATTTATGTTATCAAAATTAAAAAATAGAAAACACAATTTCATACAAACTTACCCATGAATAAATGGTAGTAAAATGACACACATTATTTTCGTCACGTAACTTATCTTGTATGTATTTTTTAACATATGTTTGAGATTTCGGCACATTATCAAAATAAATACATCTAACAAGATCCATAAATCCATATGCATATGATGTGGAATTATCAATACATACACGATGAATATACCTAAGTAAAACCGCTCTCATCACATATACCAAATATTAAGAGTGAGTTAGGACTTGTCTAATCTGACGCAAATAAATAAAAACTTTAATATTTAACACTTTATAACAATACTTACCCGACGTTGTTTTTTGCATAATAGTGTGCTAATTCCATTGGTAGCAGAATATTTGTTCCATCTTGTTGAGGTAAGGCAAATGTAGCGTCAAGTTATTAATCCCCATTAGGCCCAAATTTACATCCCACTAAACATGATTTTCAACCCTACAATTGAAGAGAACTAATAACTTTAAACAAACAAGAAGACTTTATAAGAACAATCATCAAAAGGAAACGTATACTGGCCAATAATTATATAACTACCTCATTGTGATTTATGAACATGCCTGTTAATATCAGTAATCAGATAAAACATTCCAATCTTAATCAAAACTCAATGACAAAACAAATCCTTTTTAAAGAAACATATATAGCCTAATAACCATAACTCACTCCGAAATTTAGCATACATTATATATACGATGAGAACTTTCTAATATATATGATAATATTTCTGACACATTATCAAAATATATAATAGATAATAGATATTGAAACAATCTAACAAGAACAAAACAAACTTCTGTGTATTTTATTTTATTTGAAACAAGAACAAAAAACATTGATAGATAATAGATATTGAAACAAACATGAAATGAGAAATGCATATAGTAGAAAATTTTGCCTCAGTTTGTACTTATCCTCAATGAAAAAGGCACTATTCAACTTGATGTCTTGCCTGTAATACAAAATCAAAATCAGAAGCATGAGATATGAAATGTTTCATCCTAAACAAATTCAAAAACAAAAATATATCAAATGATTCAGCCTTAACAAATTGCCAATAGATAAAGAGAAAAAACAAAAAATCTGGAAAAGCTATGAAGAATCTTGAACAATGAAGATCAAACTGTTTTAGAGTTAAGAACCTTGAACTATGAAGATTAAATTGTTTCAGTGTTGAAAAGGCACCACAATAATAAGTTATTTTTCTTGTATTGTAAATATGTATCGATGAGGCCGGATTACCCCAATTAAGAGAGTACAAATATGCCCTAATTAAACTAACATTATCAATTATTTGGGGATAATGAAATTTACCTTCTGAGGCATCATTGGTGCTCTCCTTGAGGATTAAATAAACTTATGTATATGGAGGAGTAACCTACATCTACAACCAAAAATTCAACAATTATAATTACAACAACAACAAAAAATAAAGGTCAAGATTGATTAGAAGGTTAATACCAATCTCTATGAAATCATAGACATCGTTAGTAGGTTAAGGGGTTTCTGTATGAAGAAATCACAATCCAACAAACTAATATTGTGAAACTCATATTTGTTGATTCTGTATTCAACCAAAGTATTAGGGTCCTAACCCTGCGTAGACACGAAGTCCGTGCTCTTCACTGCTGCAATGTCACTGTTGCCAGTAGTCAATGTGTCGTACTCGATGTTAAAGTCCTTCTTGTTGTTGACTTCTTCCATTTTGTCACTGTCCATTTCATAGCCCTCGGGACTGACGAATTCGATGTCAGCGGTGACACAGGTTATGAAAGGATTGCGGCGTGAGGTGGTTCGAAGGAAGAGAGGTTTGAGATACGAAGGAAAAGATGTGATAAAGACAAGGTAAATGAACAAAACAGGGCAGACATAGGAGGAGTGTTATACTCCAATTTTTGCCACTAAGATTTCTCATCATCTCATATCATCAATACATCAAGATCATACATTAGGGTTTGGACATTTCTTCTACTTCATCCTATCTTTAAATTTGTTTTTGAGAGATTACCAAGCATCCTAATTGTGTATCTTGTATATATGAGTTTTATATTTTACTGACTTCTAACTAAAAACCAAAAGTATGTCTTATTTATTGTTGTTTTTTTTAGAAGACAGAGTTTTGGATCAAGGAGTTCAGGCGATGGTTCTTCGATTATGGTTGTGGTTTTGTTCAAGTCAAGGGTTTGTTCTCAAAGGCCTATGTTTCAGAGTGGTGATCTATAATCTTAGGCCACACTATCTTCAAGCTTCATTCAACATGGTTAAGGCGGGTGTGGTTGCTTAATTCTCAAGACTCTTCGAGATAGGTTCATGTGTTTATTTCCATGTCTTATTCGACGAATAATCTCGAATTCTGACAAGGGTGGGCATGGTTTAATCGGAATCTCATTATCTCAAGTCCATGTGTGATTAAGAGTGCTTCGGATTGTGAAGAAAGACAAAGTGTGCAGTTAATTCAAAGTTGGTTGACTGAAAGTCAATGTTTACAAGTTTGAGTTCAAATAATCATAACTTCTTCATTATTCAGTATTTTTAGTCAATTCTTCAAGCATATGAATCTCCTTGACGTCATCTCTAATTTCTCTTTACAAGTCGAGAGCTAACTATGTGTAGAAGGCCATCAAAAATTTGAGTATATTGGATGTCGCTTTTTACTTTGACTTAATTTCAAGTGATTTTCGTTCAATTTCCAAGGATCATAACTTTTTTTTTATTTTTTATCATTTTGAAGCGATTTTTTTTTGCACGATATACTTCAAGATGTCATCTACAAGTTTTCTTTAGGGATCAAAGGTGAATTGTGTTTAGAAAGCCGTGGAAGTTAGTGAAACATTTTAGGTCATTTTTTGACTTATAATGGTCTTAACCTCTAATTTTTAATTCATGCTACCAATTTTCTAATGCCATGACATTTGCTCCAGAGTGATTTTTTGAGTTGAATTTCTTCATAACCAAGACAAGAGTCATGGTACAAGATAATTGAGTTTTAGGGGTCATTGACCATTATGTTAAAGTTTGAAGATTCGAAATTTCATGGATGCAAATTTTTTCAAAAGTTTCAAGGAGTTCAAATTCAAATAGAGGGAATTATGGTTTTCATAAGCTTAGAAATTACAAGGCATCATGTAATCTATGGCATGATTATTAGATATTCAAGACTTTAATATCCTTTCTCATTGGAATCAAATTTCTTAACATTTTATCAAGGAACATCCATAGGAGTTTCAAGTCATATGATTCTTTCTCTTATTCAAAATTCAAGGAGAGTTCAAAAATGCAAGCTTACAAGTGAAGGCAATTTAAGAGACAAGGACAATTTCAAGAAGCTAAAGCATATTTTCAAGTCATGTTACAAGAACAAATGTCAAGAGTTCTTTGGTCTAAATTTCAAAAGTTCCATACCAATTCAAGAACCTCATTAAATTTAGGATTCAAGAATTTTCACATTATTTTACAAGTTCAATTACAAATTTGAATCACAATCTACAAGTTTTTTATTTGTTCTAAAAATACAAAGAAAATAGAATTCTTATTCAATCTTCAAGTCCTCCATAGCCATTGCCTCGACTTCATCTTCAAGTTGTTCTCTCATCCTTCTTCAAGCTTCTCACCACTATTTCCTATCATCATTGTTCTCACACATGAAACAAAGAAATAATTGAAGTTAATATCAAACAATTCAAAAAAAAAAGTTTTTGAGTTTCTTTTTTCACAATTCAAACAAGTTTTGTCACAGGTGTCAGAACAAGCAACTCGTGGAGATAATTAACTCAAATTTAAAACTCAAAACAAACCACCATAAGCCCACAATGCTGCATACGTTCACAAGTTGAGCCTAATCATCACATCAACATTTCTAGCAAAATTTCAAATCAAACAAAGCTATAACAGCTACAGCAGGCCCACGGTTTTCCACAGGTTCACTATAGCAATTATCAAAAAACACACATGTTATTCAGTTTTCATTCTGTATTGTTGTTTTTCATAAAAAAAGAAGGTAAATGTTGATTTAAGTGAGATAGAAAGAGTTTTATTAAAAAGGTAAATGAAAAGAAATTTTGTTGTTGGATTTTCCAACGTTACAGCATAATACATGCTGCAAGTGGCCATTTGTTTTTATTATTATTTCTACTCATCTTGAGATTCGTGCGGCCAGCAGGTAAGTGACAAGCGGAGAAGATAATGATTAACAATTGATTCTATGTCTGTATCTCCACAGTATTAGTATAGGCCACAAATCTGGACCTCCTGATGTGCTTACTACACTAGAGTAGATCAGATCTAAAGGTTACATTTATTCTGTTTTAATTTCTTTTCTTTTAATTTATTTTTTATTTCAAAAATTCATACAAATTCAATTTTTCTCCAAAAATTCCGAAAATATTCACACAATTCATTTATTTTATTTTTGACCTTGTGTAAATTTTTCAAAATTTAATTTTACTTGTTGGTAATTTTGGACCTTTATTTTGTGTTTGATAATCGACTTGAATAAATATTTGAGACTCATCTTGAGCTTTGATACTTGGAGATCTTGGATACTCTGTTGTTATGTTGTCTAAAGTCCATGGAGTTTACTCCATGGAATTGGGTTGATTCTTCTGTGTGCAGGTTATTCTGATTTCTACGCTTTATCTGTGAATGAGAATTCCTCTGTATACAACTATTACTCTGCCCAATTTTTTTGAAGACTTTGTCAGATTCTTATTTTTATCTGAGGCTAAATTCATCTAATGTTTTTTTATCTGAGGCACAAGTTCATCTTAGGCTTATTTCATCAGAGGTTTAGTATGTTTGCTTGCTTGGTTTTAATCCAAAGGATGGGAATTCTACATCTACTTCCTCATATCAAGTGTTGGCTTCTTGTTGGTTAGATCATACTTTTCCTTAGATTTTACCTTATGCTTTAGGATATTCCCTTCATCTCTTTCCACCATCTTTAATTTCAAAAATATTGGCCCACCTTTTCAAAACTCTTCTTGTTTTCTAACTTGAAATACTTTCATAATAAACTTGGACTTAGGTCCTTGCATTTTCAAAAATGTTTTCTTAACCAAACTTTAACCAACTTAATCATACTTTGACATTTTTTGTGAGAAGACTAAAAGTCAATCAACCTCATTTAAACCATTTTTTCCACTTTGGCTTTTTACTTTAAAACTCTTTTCTCAAAAGATTAGACTTTTGTCGACTCTTTGAGTGAGGCTTTATAGATTTTAAAATTCAAGTTATATCCTCCACTTTGAGTTGATGCAAATTCTCCTTTATCATATTGTGGGTAGTAAGTATGTTTTCCACACGAATATGATGATGATGTCTCATCTCTTAAAATTAACCAACACACATGTATTTTAAAACTTTTGAAGTGAACTACGAGTACCCTGATCCCCTATTACACGAAAGGTGATACTTAGGCACTAAAAGTTCACATACGCACAGGTGAAAAATTGTAAAAAAATACTTCTTTTCTCATCCCTACCATCTATTTTGGTATAAACCTTTTATAGCCAAAATACACAAATTTTCAAAGAGGTTTCTGAGGAGTATCGTAGATGTTTAGGATATTAATATCTTCCCTTTGCATAACCAACCCCCGTACCTAGATTCTCTCCCCAATTTTTTTGAGAAATATTTCCGCTCCAAACAAAACTCCTCGAAGCCATCTGGATAGATTTGAGAAGGGTGCAAGTCCAGGAGTAAATAGTAAGAGTGTGTGTGAGCATAGATTTCACCATAGACTATATCAGGACTGCCCAAACCGCAATAGATAGTAACGAGCCTTTCCACACCAAAAATTTAAACAAAATCCTATCAGAAATCGGCTGAAGATAATTCTTCTTAACTCTAATCGAAAGGAAGAATCCCCCTGTTAAAACCAATTTTCTGCAATAAAGTAATAAATCTAGCAATACTCATACCACCCATGAACAAAGACGATTTAGCGAGGCTAAAAACCTGACCAGAAGCATTAGCATAGATATAGAAAAAAGAGAATAGGGCACTGACATTGGATTTGTTACCTCTGCAAAAAATAATGATGTCATCTTCATAGAGGGTACAGGATGGAAAGCTCGTGTTTTTAGCTCCCAGCATAGGTTTTATTATTTCTCTAAAATTATGATTGACATACATTTTGGTTAAACCAACTTGGCAGCAACATGTTGAACAAGATGTTTCAAATTGCAATTTTCAACATGTCGAATAAGATGTCCCAACCAGGAGGATAAAACATTGTGTCTGTAGCTACTAGAAGTTATGTTTCAGATGATATGTTAGTTACTGAATATTCAGGGAATATTTAGTTAGCTTATATGGCGTCCAAGATTAAAAAAATCAAAGATTATATGTTGGTTTTCGAAGATATATAAAGTTTATAAATATGGAGACATTTTAGGAAACTAATGATTGAAGATCTATTTTCTTAGAGAAGATTTTGCAGACTTTGTGCAGCCTCACTGCTACGATTTTGATGCCCCACCTAGTCCAAAATAAGGTTATATATAGACTGGTGTATATCTAGTTTTAGGTGGAACTTACGTGTGTATTTTGTTAGGGTTTTATAATCCTTATTTGTGAGCCTTTCTAATATCATCTTGATAAAAGAGTAGGACTATTTTAGGTTATAAGTTCTGCCAAGCATCCATAAGCTTTTAAGCATTGGATGTTTGTGTGTTAGATTATCATAAGCTTTTAAGCATTGAGTATTTGTGTGTCAGTACTCATAAGCTTTTAAGAATTGAGGATTATGTGTCTTAGAAGAATGACTTCCTGTTTTTGTTCTCTATTGT